TGGGACAAGGAGCTTCTCTGGGTCAATTGTGGTGACGCACGTAAAGCTCTGGTACCCAAATTGGCTGCACTGCTCCTTCTGGAAAGATACAAAACATAACCTCTTCCCCACATCATCACTAGATCTGGTAAAACTCTTGTCTAGTGTGTGTATCCTTCCACCAGGCTGAGTCGGCAGAGGCTATTGTACAGGAGGCCCGATGCCTTTTGGCTGCTGTACAACCCTCTGCATTGTATTTCCAAAAAATCTAACCTATAACATTATTCTCCCCCTTTTTTGTTTTTTATAGAAAAGGTTTATATTGATGGAATTGTCAGTTTTTCTTTTTGTGTCAAGAGCTAACTTTGATGTGTTAAAACTAAGTAAAATGCATTTATTCAATCCAAAGCAGGCATTAAAAAGAAAAACCCTAAATGATCTCTTGTATCCATTTTAAGAGTAGGATTGGCGCTTTCTGCTATTACCTGAGTCCTGATCTATCATCCCAGGGAGAGCTTGCCAGTCCTGCACTTTCCCGGGGTGGGAAGGCTGCAGTGGGGTTAAGGATAAGGCTCCTTGGGCCTACCTTCTCCCATGCCTTTACATTTACCTTTCCTTCCTCAGAAAAGCATGGACATATTTCTTGTATAAAACATTCTGTCTGACTGGGAGTAACCTTAACTCCTCTGCTAGCAAGCATATGTGTTAAAAGATCAATACAGAGTCTTTTTTCTTCTAGACTCAGTATGGCACATGTTCTCAATCTAAAGATCAATACAAGTGGACCAGGAGGGAAAGGGGTGTAGGGGGTGCGGGAAGAAACTGGACAAAAATTGTACACCTATGGATGAGAACAGTGGGTGGTGGGGGTAAGGGCAGAGGGTGGGGTGGGAACCTGGTGGAGGGGAGCTATGAGGGGAAAAAAGAGGAACAACTGTAATAATCTGAACAATAAAGATTTAATTAAAAATAAATAAATAAAAATAAAGATCAATACAGAGTCTTCTTTTTTTGCACTCAGTATGGCACATCTTCTCAATCTAAGTTCTGTACTATCCACCTCCTAACCCTATTTATCCTCTATAGAGGGGTCTGCAGCACCCTACGGTGGAGTCCTATCCATTCCGAGTGCGGGGGTTCTCAATGTGGGGGGGGGCTTACCAAGGGGAATCCTGTTCCAGGCACCATATGGTGGAGGCCAGCCCCAGCAGGTGCAGGGGTTCCCCAAGGTGTGGATGGAGTCTGCAAAGAAGGAATGACAAGGAGCCAGCGTCCAGGTGATCATCATAGCCAGGTTCCTCTCTTTATTGTCCTCTTACATCTGTATTTATACTATTTGATATTAATCCTATCCATTTTATTCCAAAGGTTAGGGCGTTTCTTATCTCCATTCCAAGGTTACTCTATTGTTCTATTAAGCTACAAGGAAGTAACTGAAGGAGGTCATTCTAAGTAAAGATGATGTAGCTTAAGCTTGATTGTTCGTAGTTAAAGTGATTAACTACCCGCCTGGCACTTAGTTAAGGGGTTTTACTGATAAAAATCCTCACCTGGGGAAACAACCTTTATCGGGGAGGTGGTCCTGTTTAAAACACATAGCATTAAGAGGGGGGAGCAAACATATTAAGAACAGTATGCCATATACACCAGGTCCCTTGAAACATAAACTGTGCAGATGTTTCTTCCCTGCAGTGACTGCATCAAGCAGCAAGGGTGGATCGGCTTCCAGCATTGGGGGAGGCAACCAATTAATGTGTCTCTTTCAATAGAAGTTTCTCATTGTCTCTTCCTCTCCTTTCCATTCTCTCTAAATATCAATGGAAAATATATCCTCGAGTGAGGATTAGCACCAACAAAAAAAAAGTTAAAGTAAAATAAAAATTAAAAGGCATGAAAAAAAATTGTCTAAGAGCCAGGGCAGGATGTCCCTGGGAAAATCTCCACTGTCAGCACCACCGTCCAGGACAGGTGCCTGAGGTGGGTACTAACCATCACACCTGCTCATAGAAGAGGAACAGGCCTGGGGGTGACTGACCCAAGGTCACACAGGGAATGAGTCCTGAGCTGGGATTTGAAACGAAGTAGGGTGCCCTGGGCATGCCTGCTGGGCCCTGGTTCAAAACTGCCTCTCCCTTCCAGGAAACGCCAGCAGAAGCCCAGCTCAGGACTCACTGGGCATATCTGGGCCTGCAGTGCATTTGGTTCATGGGCCCACATGTGTGTGGTTTCGGTGAATTTGTACTGCAGACAAATTCCATGATTCCTCGTGGAGGCAGCCTGGGCTTGTGCTGTCTCTTTCCAGGACACCACTGGCTCCAGACTCAGCACTCACCAGGGCCTCCACTCATCACTCCAGAGTCTGTTCAGTGGCGTTGTCTTCTCTACGTGACTCAGAGTTCCCCAGGGTCAGAGCCTGGCACACACACTGGGTGCTCAGGGGTGTCTGGGGGGTGACTGACTGACAAGAGAAAAATGGGGGCCTAGAGGAAGGCTGTGCTGGCCAAGAGCTCCACAGGAGCAGTGGGCTGGCCCCAGTTGGCCTTCCTCACACTGACAATGGCCACCCATTCCTTCCACAGAGATCTAAGGAGCCATGATTGCTCCCTGGCTTCAAAGGGCCTCTGGTCCACCAGACAACAGGCTGTCAGACAAACACAGAACAGAGTGATATTGGGGGAAGAGGGAACCTGAGGGCTGATGGCCATAAGGGAGATCATTGGGGGTGTGGTGAAGTGAAGGGGTGCCATGAGGGCAGAAGAGGGGCCATGGAGACACTATGTAGTGAGGGAAGGCACTTGCTACCTGGGAAGGGTTCTCTGTGGAAGAACACCAACCCACAGACAAATGTCACCTTGTGGCAGCTGCCATGATGTGTGATTGTGTGATTTCTCTCCCGGGCTCCAATATCCCCAAAGAGCCAATGCATCTGCCTTCAGTGCCTTTCGGGCTTGAAAATGTCTAACTCCCAGGCCTGGCCTCTTTCTCTCTAATCACATTCTTAGATTTAATCTTCTCCACGCAGTTTCTGAGTTAATCCCATCTTTCCCAGAGGAGACCCACCCTTTTCCTCCTGGGAGGGACAGAAGATGGAATCACTCCCTTTGCCCTCTAGGATGGCACTGTCTGCCCTCCAGCTTGTCTCCTTTTAAATCCTAAATTCACCCAGAGAAGAGTCTTTCCATCTCTCTTCTCTCCAAGGAAAAACACCCATTTGTTACATGGCCCTTGGTCATTTACAGGGTTCCATTAGTTTGGCTCAGCCCCACTCTGTCCAGCCCTGACCTCTGCTTCTCATGGTGATTCTGTCCTGACTTCCCTCAGAGAAGCCTGGTGGTCTAAAGGGCCCCCACATCCTCAAACAACCACCTCTTGCTCCCTGAAAGAGCTCATGATCTGCTGTGTCACCTGACATAAAACCCAAGTTACAACTAGATGCATGGACATATTTCTTTTTTTCTTGGGGATGCCACCATTGTCTTCTTGCCTGTTTTAACTGTGGATAATTTGGATTACTCTAATGTGGCCAAAGATCCCAGCAACCATGCTCTCAGGTTGTGTTTTTTTCCTTTCTAACGTCAGGAACCCATTACACCCTTCACTCTCTCACACCAAGTATGATAACTATGGGCCATCCGTCCACCTCAGTCAGTGCCTTTGGAAGGAATCAATGAGCCAGTCTTCAACCTTGCCCCTCCCTAACTTTCTTTTTCCGAAACGGATAGGGAGAAATGCATAAATCCCATTAGGATTATGGGGTTTAGACCAGGGGTTCTGATTGGATGTTAGCATTTGGGAAGGTGTATAAAATCCTCAGGCACCAGAGGAGAGATTCAGAGTCCTCCAGCTTTGCAGTGGTTCTCCACCAGGTCTGAGATCTGAGCCCCAGCCCGCCCGGTCACAGCAGGTGAGTTACCAACCTCAGCTAAGGCAGCCGGCCTCACGGTGCCGAAGCTTGACCTATGGAGAGCTTTCCATATTCTTTCTTTCTTTTTTCTTTCTTCTTTCTTTTCTTCTTTCTTTCTTTCTTTCTTTCTTTCTTTCTTTCTTTCTTTCTTTCTTTCTTTCTTCTTTCTTTCTTTCTTTCTTTCTTTCTTTCTTTCTTTCTTTCTTCTTTCTTTCTTTCTTTCTTTCTTTCTTTCTTTCTTTCTTTCTTTCTTCCTTCCTTCCTTCCTTCCTTCCTTCCTTCCTTTCTCTCTCTCTCTCTCTCTCTCTCTCTCTCTCTCTCTCTCTCTCTCTTTCTTCCTTCCTTAAAATGTATTTTTACTGATTTCAGAGAGGAAGGGAGGGGGAAAGAGAGAGACTGAAACAGCAATTATGAGAGAGAATAATTGATCAGGTGCCTCCTCAAACCTCAACTGGGGAGAGAGCCCACAACCCGGGCATGTGCCCTTGACCAGAATCAAACCCGGGACACATCAGTCCATAGGCTGAACCAGTATCCACTGAGGCAAACCAGCTAGGGTCCTTTTTGTTTCATTACAGACTAACAGATTGAATGCTTTGATTTCGCCTCTAAGTGTAGCCTTACCTGAATTCCAAACATTTGGATTTGGGCTTTGGATTATTTTTAAATGTTTAAACAAGCTGATTCCCTGACACCTCCCTCCACATGCCCCACCACCCTCAATGAAAACATCTTAACTGTTGGGGGTTTTATTTTTGGACATTTTAACTATTAGTTTGTGCCCCTAGATGGGTCTGAAACTTATCCCCAAAAAAGGTAGGGGTCAGCTTTTAGGCCCCTGAGTACCCACTTGCTAGTCAGACTGGAATGAAAGATGTGGGTGCTTCTGAGATGCTTGTCTGGGGGCCTGCAGGGGAGAGCTATGGCTCTGTGGCCACCGAGCCCAGAATGGGACTCACTAAACGGAGGCTCTCACCATTGCCAGGCAGTGGCTTTGGCCCTCAGTTGATTCCTCTGAGGGAAGGGGAGTGAGTCGATGGGGCTCAAAGGCTTGGCCTGACAAGGATGTCTTGTTCCCTGGACGTTGCTGCAGGATTCCTTTCTGAGCACCTTGAAGATGAGCATCCAGATGACACCAGCTCTCCTGAAGCTGGCAGCAAAGTGCCTGCTGAGGGACCAGGCCTTGGCCATTGCAGCTCTGGAGTCCCTGCCCGCCGAGCTCTTTCCGGACCTGTTCGTCCTGGCCTACCGTAGTGGACACCACTGCCAGCTCCTGAAGGCGATGGCCCAAGCCTGGCCCTTCCCTGTCCTCCCCCTGGGGGTCCTGATGCAGCATCCCCCTGATCATGCCGCAACCAGGGCCATGGCCTTAAAAGCCGTGTTTGATGCGCTTGACGTTCTGCTTACCCAGGAGGTTCGGACCAGGTAAGGCTGCCCCAGGTGCCTGGTATGGTCCTGACTGAGCATCTGGGAGACAGCGGGGGTCAGGGCCGGTGGAGGGCCTAAGGGTGGACCTGAAGTTTCTGACGGTGCCAGTGAGGCTCAGGGAGCCCTTGCACACTGTGCGGCTCACTGTGGGCAGGGCCACCTGCAAAACCTGCCCTGTCTCCTCCCAGTGGTACTTCAAGGTGCTGAGCAGGAGGGATGGAAGGGGAGGAGATGAGCAAAGCAAAGCAGAGGGAGGAGGAGGGCGAGGGAGAAGCTGACCCTGGGATTCAAAGTAGAAGCTCAGGGTGGGCGTGCAGTCTGATTGGTGCATCAACTCAGACGCTCAATCTCATTCAGACCTGCCCTCACTCAGTTGATCTTTTTTTTTAAAAAAAAAAACCAAATTTTTTTATTGATTTCAGAGAGGAAAGGAGAGATAGAGAAAGAAGCTTCAATGATGAGAAAGAATCATTGATCAGCTGCCTCCTGCACACACACACACACACACACACACACACACACACACTCCCCCCACCCACTGGGCATTGAGCCTGCAACCCAGGCATGTACCCTGACTGGAGATTGAACTGTGACCTCCTAGTTCATAGGTCGATGCTCAACCACTGAGACATACAGTCCATAAAGCATCTCAGCCAATGCCCTGTTGACCTGGAAGAATCTCAGCTAATGTCCTGCTCTCCCCACAGGAGGTGCAAACTGCGGGTGCTGGATTTAAGGAACACGGGTGCCAACTTCTGGCATATGTGGCTTGGAGACAACGCCTGGGATTGCTCACCGACAGGACCAGTGACTGTGCACAGCTCCAGCCCCAACATGGAGCATCCCCAGGCTCCCTTGGAGGTGTTCCTAGACCTTAACTTCAATGAAAGGGACCTGGATAAGTTTTTCATGCACATCATCCAATGGGCCCAGCAGAGGGAAGGGTTGCTACACCTGTGCTGCAAGGCGCTGTGGATTTCTGCGGTGCCCTTCCAGAGGGTCAGGGGGATCCTGGATAGGATGAAGCTGGACTGCATCCAGGAGGTGGAAGTGAACTGCACCTGGGACCTGCCCACCCTGGGGACATTTGCTCTCTACCTGGGTCAGATGAGTAACCTGCAGAGACTCTCTCTCCCCTACATCAATGTGTTGTCTGAGGAGAATGAGGACGAAGAGCAGGAGGAGGAGGGGGAGGAAGAAGTACAACAGGAAGAGGAGCAGGAGTTGAGGGAGGAAGAGGAGTTGGAGAGGGAGGAGCAGGAGCAGGAGGAAGAGGAGCAGGAGCGGGAAAGGCAGAAGCAGGAGGAGCAGCGAGCCTTTTCCCAATTCCTCTCTCAGATGCTCAGGCTTCGGCACCTCCGGGAGCTCGACATGTGTTCTCTTTCCTTCCTCCGAGGCCGTCTGGACCGGATGCTCAGGTGAGCTGTGGAACAGTGGACGAAGCTCCAGAACGTCAAGGGAGTGGTCTTGTTTGCTGCTTTGAGGGTGGTGTCCCGTGAGCACCTTAGAGAAGCATGTTTTAAAATCTGCCTGTCAGGAGGGGTAGCAGACCTGGATCAATGAGAACCCAGCGAGGCGGGTTCTGTGAATGCTGTGAATGCTTCCTTAGGGAGAGATGTCTAAGTGACCAGGACTTAGGAAAGGGGAGGGAGGAGGAAAGGACATTTCCAGACAGAAGCTCTATGCCCACCAGCCATGTGAACACATGTGAGCCTGTCTCAGCTTCCCCATCTGTCAGAGGTGGTCCTGGGCTCCAGAAAGGTCATTAGTAGAAAGAAAAGGCAGGATTCCACAGCTAAGGGAGCGGGAGGGAAAGGACTGCAAAGAGTGACAGGTGGTTTGTGGTGGAAGTCGCCTCTGCAGACTGGCCTCCCAGTTGTTGCTGCAGGATCTTTCCAGGTCTTTCTCTCTCTCTCTCTCTCTCTCTCTCTCTCTTAAATCCTCACCTGAGGATATTTTTCCCATTGATTTTTAGAGAGTGGAAAGGAGGGGAAGAGAGAGAGACATCTATGTGAGAGTGACACATTGATTGGTTGCCTCCTGCTCATGCCCCAACCAGGGCCAGGGATTGAGCCTGCAAATGAGATACATGTGCTTGAGTGGTAATCAAACCTGAGCCACGTCAATGCAAAGGCCAATGCTCTATCCACGGAGTCAAACCTGTTAGTGCCATGTTTGTTGTTTACGTATTACATGAACCAACCTCATGTTGCCCAGATATCTGGTGCCTGGAGTCCAAGCAGTGGACAGAAGGAAGCCTGAGTTGACAGCATTCTTGGTTTTATCTTCCAAACTTAAGGTTCAGGGATGTCCACCCTTTACCTAGACACTGTGTCGGGTTCTCTGAGCAGGTTCTCGGGGTTTTCCTTCTGTCCAGTCGCCCTCCAGAGTGCAGTGCGTTGCTTGGCAGCTGAGGACAGGAAGCTCTGGCGATGTCGTGAACTTGTCCCAGCCTAAAAGGAGACTGGGTGTCCCGGTCTGGCCTTCATCGGATTGTGAAGACAGCCCTGGGCTTGGGCAAATCCCTCTTCTGCCACCTGCAGGACCCCTTCTACCGGCTACCCCCGTCCCCAAGCACTAACCGCTCTGTGTCTCCCCAGGTGCCTGCAGACTCCCTTGGACAAACTCTCCATAATATATAGCCAGCAGCTGACGCATTCAGACCTGACACACCTGTTCCAGTGCCCGAACCTCAGGCAGCTGAAGAGCCTGGATCTATTTGGCCTCAGCCTTATGGATTTCAGTCCCGAGCCCCTCCGAGCTCTGCTGGAGGCAGTGGCACCCACCCTCCGGGACCTGGGTCTGGATAAATGTGGGATGGGGGACTCCCAAGTCGAGGCCATCCTGCCTGCCCTGAGCCGCTGCCACCAGCTCAGGTTCTTCACCATCTCTAAGAACAACTTCTCCGTGGCCACCGTGGAGAAGCTGCTGCGCCACACAACCGGGCTGCGCAGTTTAGAGCTCGAGCTGTACCCCGTCCCCCTGGAGTGTTACAGGACCCAAGAGACTGTGGACCAGGAGACAGTTGCCCTGATCCAGGCTGAGCTCATGGGAATACTGAGGGAGTTAGGGCGACCCAGGACCATCCATCTTGGCACCAAGCACTGTAGAGATATAGAGTTTTATCACGTGGCATTTTCATGACATGGAGCCCGTGATGTGACCCTGCTCACCAGGTGCACCTAACAAGGGCTTCCTTCTAAGCCCCTGGAAACTGAAACCTCGGACCAGGGTGCAGTATGCAGGGGCCACTCAGTGTGAATGGGGAAAGGGAGGGACCCAGCCCGGGTACAGGATTGCAGGGGCAAAGGTTAGGGCGTTTGAGGGACCTCCAGGGCAAAGTGTCCTACAATCAGAAACATGAATCCGATTTGCTTGAGGAGGGGTGGGGATTTGGGCTCAAGGTGCATCTGTGGGAGTTAATCCTGGGGTGGATGGTTGTAAAGGAATGTTCAGAAATAAAGACAGTTTCAAAGGCCACCGTCTGTTCCTCTGTCATGTCTTAACCTTTCTCCCCACTTTACACCTCCGTTACTGATGAAAAAAGGTGCGGAGGGCTCAGGATCAGACACTGGAGCTGCCGGGATGTGGTTCGGCTGCAGGGCTCAGCACCATTTTATCACTCCCTCCAGGATCTTCCTTCTCTCTGGGCATCTCTGACCTCCTTGTGGCTGCTCAGTGGGTGGACACAATGCGACTTGCTACATGGTCTGCTAACCCCTGAAGTGAAGGGGACTTGCTGCCGGCTCTGAACCTGTATGTGAGCGGTCCTCGTGGAGCTGCTGGTGAACCCACAAGTCTTACGACTCTTGCCAGGATGGGTTCAGGGCATAGGGCAGGGCCCTCAGTTCCAGAAGGGCTTGTCCACACAGTGGAGGAATGAAGCTGCTGGGCCTCGTGGCCCATGCCTGTCAGCCTGGTGTTGAGGAATTAACCTGATTGCATCCAGGAAAATCATCTAAATTCCTTTGACCAAAATACTAAACTTATTAGGGGACATAAGACTTTTCCTTAGTATTTTTATACCACATTAAAATATAAGCCTGGTGAGGGGGAGAGAAAGATCATTTTTATGGGGAATTTGCATTATTCTCATAACCTCTCTCAACTCTCTCTTTGGAGGAAGCCTAGTGTATCATGTTTTGAAGTCAACCTGTCAGATGGGTAACAGAAGAACTGGGTAAATGAAATGGGTGAGGCACTGCCTGTGCTAGGTCCCTCTATTAGGCAGTGTTCTCCGGACTAACCAATAGGGGCTACATGGACATATGTAAGACATTTATAGAAATAGGCTCATACGTTGAGCCCTATAACCTGTGCTTTACAAACTGGAGAACAGTAAAGCCAATGGTATAACTCAGTCTAAATCTGGAGGTCTGGAAGCCAGGGAGCCCATGTTATAACTCCCATTCAGAGGCCAAAGAATAAAGAGCAGCTGGTGGAAATCCAGGAGTTTGAAGCCCTGAGAACCAGGAACTCCAATGTACATGGGCAGGTGTATATATAACCATCTCACACCTGGCTGGCAAGGCTCAGTGGTTGAGCTTCAACTATGAACCAGGAGGTCACGGTCCTATTCTCTGTCAAGGCACATGCAGTGTCGCAAGAGGCATCTGATCAGTGATTCTCTCTCATCACTGATATTTCTATTATCCCTGTCTCTTCCTCTCTGAAATCCAAGATGTGTGTGTGTGCGTGTTTGTTTGTATGTAAAGATGGACATCTCAGCCAAAGAAGAGACAATTCATTCATCTTTCCTCTTTCTATTCCTGTTGTTCCCCCAGAATTTGGAGGAAGCCCACCAGCACTGTAAGATCTCCTTACTCATCTACTGAATCAAAAGCTAGCCCCATCCATTCACACCCAGTATTGTTTTACCAGCTACCTGGGCAACCCTTAGGGCTGTCAAGTTGAGACATAAAATTAACCCTTCACAGTGACCCTAATCAAAGGGCACCCAAATGAAGACTCCAAGCTCAGGTTTCAGGGGCTGGTACTTTTGGAGGGGACCTTAGGCAAGAACCCAATTCCCCTGCAAAATGAAGATCATGGTGCTCACCCAGCTTAGTGGATGCTTGTAAGATCCAAAGAGATGGTGCATGTTGAGGGCTTGGCATTGGGCCTGGCATAGAGTAAGAGCTCAATAAATGGGTGTCTCCTTCTTTTTCCTTCCCAGCAGAAGCCCCCAGCATTCTCCCCCCTCTGTCTCATGCTCTGCTCCTGAGGTCAGGGAAGAGAGCCCAGCACAAGCCACCCACTGGGACTTAGCTTCTGCATGGGGCCTCCCTGATCCTGCTTCACCCAAACAGCTGTAGCAGTCAGCCTGGGGTTGGGAGATGGGGAGTGATGGGTAGGAGTGGAGTTATTGAGTAAAGATTGGGTTCATCCCTGGTGGTTATCAGAAAGAAAAACAACTTGCAGACCTCAGGTGTGCCTCACCAGCATGGCCAAGGGCGAACCTGAGGAAGGGTAGTGAAGGATTGAAGAAAAGACAGACAAGAGAATACAGCTGGGGCTCTGTGCATCTCCCATGCCTGGATGAGGACACAAAACACCCAGCCTGCAAGCCAATGCTTTATTTGATAGTCTGATTAAAATAAGAGTAGATTAACTTGTATACAAATGTCCTTGTTTTGACAACACTTGCTGCACCTCCCACAGCACATTAGCTACTTAGGAAGAAATTAGGGAGGGCTACAAGATCAGGCTTAATTGTGGTAGGAGAGCTCTGCCCTCCAGGCTGGGACTTGTTGTGGCCCTGCCACAGGTCAGCCCGAGGCTTGACCCTATAGCCACTCTCTACACTCAGGATACCTGTGCCACTGGCTGCTCAGACTAGATGACATGTTAGTGTTGAAAGCAGGGCTGTACTATTGAGCATTTTTAAAATCTGCTATTATGTAGATGCTACTTGAGTATAAATATTTTTGTGATGATTTATGTAAATGTTTGTGGTGATTTATGTAAATGTTAGGTGATTTATGTAAAAGTGCCTTTTAAAATGAGAACGGAATTTTATTACTTTTAAAGAATGCTCGTTCATATTGCCTTAAAAATGTTTAACTGTGTTGGGAGACTCAAATCAAACTTTAAAACTGGTTTTCAAGATCAGTGACCAGGAATTGTTTCTTCTTTAAATACATTGAGAATAATGCCCTAGCCAGTTTTGTTCAGTGGATAGAGGGTCAGTTTGGGAAGTGAAGGGTCCTGGGTTTTATTTTGGTCAAGGACACATACCTGGGTTATAGGCTCCTGGGGTTGGTCATGAGGGCTGATCAGAGGTATACAGGAGGCAACCAATCCATATCTCTCTCTGCCATTGGTGTTTCTGTTGTTCTCTCTCCCTTCCACTAGCCCCAAAAATCAATGGATATATATACTCAAGTAAGGATTAAATTAAAAAATGAATGAATAAACAAATAAAATTATAGTAGTACATATAGAAAATTTTAAAAAATCATTTAGAATAATAAAATTTTAGAGCTGGACATATTATAGCTAGCTTTTTAAAAGTAGACTTTATGGCCTAGCTGGTGTGGCTCAGTGGTTGAGCGTTGACTTATGAACTAGGAGGTCACGGTTCAGTTCCCGGTCAGGGCATATACCCTATTGCCAGCTCAATCCCCTGTGTGGAGCATACAGGAGGCAGGCAATCAATGATTCACTCTCATCAGTGATGTTTCTAGCTCTAATCCCTCCCCCTTCCTCTATGAGATAAATACAAATGTTTTAAAAATTAGATTTTATTTATCAGAGCAGTTTCAGGTTCACAGCAAAATTGAGCAGAAGGTAGAGAGTTCCCCTAGAACAGTGATGGCGAACCTTTTGAGCTCGGCGTGTCAAAATTTTGAAAAACCCTAACTTAACTCTGGTGCCGTGTCACATATAGAAATATTCATAATTTTTTTGTTATATTTGCAACTATAGTAAAAAAAAGATTTATATTTTTGATATTTATTTTATATATTTAAATGCCCTTTAACAAAGAAAAATCAACCTAAAATATGTATAAAATGAACAAAAACAGAAAAACAATGTACATTTAGGAAAAAATAATAATAAAAACAATAATAATCAGATGGTATGAAAACTAGAAATTAGTGACTTTTTTTTGGTGCTGAAGTTTGTCTGATAATTCTTCTATTGCAGGTTCATACTTGGTGCACTTCAAGGCCAAGCAAGCACCACTAACTTAATCTGTTAGCCGGTTTCTTTTGATGGTTTTAATATTATTTAATGCTGAGAACAAAGTGTCACAAAAATATGTTGATGAAAAAATTGTTAGCAAAGCTATCGCTAGATTTTAATGTCGCTAAAAGTATCAGGTAATCTGTTCCAAAGACTCAAAATTTCTTGTTCCTAGTTGCACTTTTCTTCATTATTCAAACGATTTTGTTCCAGATTTTCAAGTTTCAACCTTAAGTCGACAAACACATGAGTCCAAATGCTACCTTGAAAATCTGCAAGTTGCATCTCTAAATCGTCCATTTGCATCCATTGTAAATACTTTAATTCCAAAGTACTGTAAACAACTACATCCGGATACTTAATTATTTTAATGGTCTGTTCTAGGCTTCTAAGTTGGTCGAATCTTTCACTGAACTGTTCAAATAATGAGTTTACTATATTCTGGTACATTAGTATGGACTCCATTACACTCGTAGTGGCCTTCTCGAAATACTTTTTTATCCGAGGAAAATCTTATAAGTTTTAGTTTCAATATCTCGCTTGAAAATTTTAAGTTTACTTTCATAAGATTTGATGTATCCAAATATAACGTCAATACTTTTACCAAAACTTGTAATTTTAAGTTCAGTTCATTCATATGAACAGAGAGATCTGTAAAAAACATCAAATTGCTGACCCACTTATGATCATTGATCTGAGGAAAGTTTGCCAGATCCTTATTCTCAAAAAATACCATAATTTCTTCAAAGCACTCCACAAATCGCTCAAGTACTTTACCTCGACTCAGCCATCTCACATTATTGAACATCAGTAGTCCACTGTAGGTTGAATCAACTTCCTGTAAAAGTACAGAAAATTCTCGCTTGTGAAGGGGTCGAGAAGCTATAAAATTCACAATTTTTGTTACAACTGACATTAAATCATTCAATTCTAAGAATCCTGATTTGGCACAGGAC